TATCTACACATACAATATGCATATATGTAAGAGAAACAATAGATATGAGGTGGCGGCTTATTTTAATGAGTTATCAAAAGATAGACGAGAAGTGAGGCCCACTCAACCCACTCAACAAGGTGTATGAGATGGACAATATTATCTTTTATTTTTTGGCTGTGCATTAGTAAAATTGAGCCATCAATCCCTTCCTCGACCTAATTGTTTACGGGCCAGGAACGTGACCTGCTTTCGCCCATATCTTGTTAATTAGAAGGTAAACTCATATCATTAGCGGGTTATGCACAACTTGATCCGCTTGGTCAAATACTCATTTCAATACTCATTGGTCAACTTGAGAAATAAGGGTATATGAAAAAGAAGCCTCCTTCGTTTGTGTATATTTCTCGAGAAACTCCATCGTCTAGAAAGTTCAATAAAAAAATGTATCATCAATTATAAAAGAAGCGGTTACTTCGTAATGAAGTTTGATTTGTCATGTGTTTAGACAGACACCTGCATGCATAATTTTAGGTTTATAGACAACATAAACATTTGTTTATCTCAAAACTTATTATTATTTTTTTTTTCTACTTTCTGTCTTCTGATTTTAAATATTTGAATAGTGCACTTTTTACCCAATACGAGCTGTCTGTAAAGAGCAAGATGTCCGTCTGAAGAAGGGGTTGCTTATTGAATTTTTTTTATTAATACAAGTTATGTTCAAGACATATAGTACAGTATATCGAAAAAAGAAATTTCTAGTAATTTGTTTTAAAATATATTGTAAATATACATATACTATTACACTAAAGTTGAGAATCTATACGGTAAATCTCTTATAAAATCAAGTGGATTAAGAGTTCAATCAACCAACTTTTTTTTAATACCTTAGACTCGCTTTGGGATGTTTATTGATGTATAAATGCATAGCTCTTAAGAATAGACAATCTTGATGGGTACCACATGTCAACGAGCATTTCAAAAAGTAAACCCATGGTTCATGAGTTTACACGAGCTTTTCATGAATATGTATGTTATGTTAGTGGACCATGCTACTGCACTATTTGAAGTTATAACTTTATAATATTACACGCCCTTCATGTTGGGGCTCTTTTATGGGCCGAAATCTTTTATGGGATTATATTTATTTTGTAATCTATTTTAAAATTTTGTGCCTAATAAGATTTAAACTTTGGTTGCTTTGATATGGTGTCAAAATTCCTTGTAACTACCCTAGAAGACTTGAACATAGCCAACCAACAAGATGTGAATTTGTAAAACAAATTTTAAAAAAAGGAAAAAAAGATAACGCACTAGTAAGTCTTGGTACAAGCCAATAAAATGATATCAAATATGCACCAAGGGATATCTGTTGAGAACGGTGTAGACTCAAACCTCCGCAGGCGAGCTCGATGTTGAGGCGGATCTGAGGCAAGCTTCTCCAGGCAAGGTCGCCAGCTGCAGGCGGAACTCGCGAGCAGGCGAAGGTGCAGGCAAGTTTTTAAAGCGCGGGCGAACTTTGGTCAGGCGAGATCGAGGCAGGCGGATTTTGCACAGGCGTGTTGATGACTTGCAGGCGAGTCTGAGCGTTCGATCCAGGCTGTCGACAACCAGTCGACAGCTCAGCTGCGTTTCCTTATAAAAGGGGAACCCTAGGGTCAAGACCCTAATCTCCCCTTCCCGCGATCTCGACTTCCTGGCAGCAGCGATCTTCTTCTTCCTCTTTCTTCTTTTTCTTCAACGTCTTTTCTCCAGAGCCCTAAGCTCAGATTTTGGGGGGAATTAAAGAGGGAGAAATTAAGAGAGAAAACCAAGAGGGTAATTAAGAAGAGGGAATCTTCACTGTAGCTACAATAGAAGATTGTATTTATTGAGGAATCTCAAGTTTGAGATTCGCTCTGAATTGTAATTTCTTGTTAGATTAATAAGAAATTTATTGTGTGGCTCCCGAGGACATAGGCAGTTGCCGAACCTCGTTAAATCTTGGTATACTTTTTCTATTCTACGTTTCTGTTGTCTTAGGGGTTTTGACGTTAAATTCCCAACAACTGGTATCAGAGCGTGAAACGATCTAGAGGAAGTCAGATTCAAGTGGGAGTCATGGCCGCAGATGAAGGAAAGATGAGACTTGAGAAGTTTGATGGAACAGATTTTGGATTCTGGAAAATGCAGACAGAGGATTATCTGTATCAGAAAAATCTGTATCAACCACTATCGGGGAAGAAGCCAGATTCTATGAAGGCAGATGAGTGGAACCTTCTAGATAGACAAGCCCTTGGTGTTATCAGATTGACGTTGACTCGTAATGTTACGTTCAACATAGCGAAGGAGAAGACAACGGCGGGTCTTATGACAGCACTCTCAAACATGTATGAGAAGTCATCAGCCGCGAACAAAGTTCATTTGATGCGGCGGTTATTCAATCTGAGAATGGCGGAAGGCGCGTCAGACAAAGTTCATTTGATGCGGCGGTTATTCAATCTGAGAATGGCGGAAGGCGCGTCAGTAGCACAACACCGTAATGAACTCAACACGGTCACAACCCAATTGAGTTCAGTTAAAATTGAGTTTGATGAAGAAGTTCAGGCGTTGATATTATTGTCTTCCCTACCAGAGAGTTAGAACGCTACAGTCACAGCTGTGAGTAGCTCGTCGGGAAGCACCAAGTTGAAGTTCAACGACGTTCGTGGTCTGGTTCTTAGTGAGGAGATCCGACGGAGAGAGTCGGGTGAAGCTACAACCTCTTCAGTATTACATACAGAGTCAAGAGGTAGAAATTCAACCAGAGGGAACGGGCGAGGCAGATCAAACTACAGAGGTAGATCAAAGGACAGGAGGTCCAAGTCAAGGAATCGAAGCAACAACTCGAAGACTATCGAGTGTTGGAATTATGGAAAGACCGGGCATTACAAGAATCAGTGCAAGAGTGCACAAAAGGAGAAGGAGGCGAAGGCAGAGGTGAATGTCACTTCCACTTCAAGAGGAGACGACGCATTGATATGCTCTTTGGAGAGCAAGGAGGAATCTTGGGTGTTAGATTCAGGAGCGTCGTTCCATGCTACTTCTCAGAAAGAATTCTTCGAGAAGTATATTCTCAAAAATCTTGGATACGTATACCTTGGTGATGATCAACCGTGTGCTATTGTGGGCAAAGGTGTGGTGAAAATTAAGTTGAACGGGTCAGTCTGCGAGCTGAAGGATGTCAAGCATATTCCCGACCTGAGAAAGAACTTAATATCCGTAGGCCAGTTGGCTGGCGAAGAATACACTACGACCTTCCATGGAGATGATTGGAAGATCTCAAAGGGCGCAATGACGATTGCACGAGGCAAGAAGACTGGTACCCTGTATATGACAGTAGGTGCACGTTGTTTGATCTCAGTTACAGCAGGCAATGAGACTTCAAAGCTGTGGCACCAAAGACTCGGTCATATGAGTGAGAAGGGGATGAAAATCATGCACACAAAGGGAAAACTCTCAGGACTGCATTCAGTGGAGATGGATATGTGTGAAGAATGCATACTTGGAAAGCAGAAGAGAGTTAGTTTTCAGACAAGTGGCAGAACCCCGAGGAAAGAGAAGCTAGAGCTCGTTCACTCAGATATGTGGGGACCAACAACCACCGCGTCCATTGGTGGAAAACACTACTTCGTTACTTTTATCGATGATCACTCTCGGAAAGTATGGGTCTATTTTCTAAAGCATAAGTCAGAAGTATTTGAAGCTTTCAGGAGATGGAAAGCTATGGTCGAGAATGAGACCGGTCTGAGAATAAAGAAGCTCAGGACCGATAATAGCGGTGAGTATGAAGACACCGGATTCAAGAAGTTCTGCTATGAGCACGGGATCGGAATGGAAAGAGCCGTGCCCGGCACGCCTCAGCAAAATGGTGTAGCTGAGCGGATGAACCGAATGTTGACAGAGAGAGCCAGAAGTATTCGGGTACAGTCAGGCCTACCGAAGCAGTTCTGGGCAGAAGCGGTCAACACAGCAGCTTACTTGATCAACCGAGGTCCATCGGTTCCATTGGAGCGCAGAATACCAGAGGAGGTATGGTGCGGAAAGGAGGTAAAACTCTCACATCTTAAAGTTTTCGGTTGTGTGGCTTACGTGCATATTAGTGATCAAGACAGGAATAAGCTTGATCCCAAGTCAAAGAAATGCACTTTCATCGACTATGGTGAAGATGAGTTCGGCTACCGCATTTGGGACAACGAAAACAAGAAAGTGAT